TATCATTCAGTGACACAGCGACAAGTAAATCAATAGATAATATAGTTCTTCTAATGTGTGTATAGGAGTGAGACCTGCCCACCTCCTTAGTTATTATTTCCATTTGCCGGCTGTATGAGGCCTGAACCCCTGAGTGCTCTGATTCATCTGGGATAGTAAACACAGATCGCTGTGTTTCTATAATAATAATAATAACACACTGAAGCTGCTCTCCTGCAGCACCGTGTCAGCTCGTATCACTGTCAGACACATACTGGCTGTATCACACGCACAAAGCCGTCATAGTTTTAGATACTGTCAAGTCATATCATTGCTATGTTGTGTATCTGTGGTGGTTTCCCTCACGTGGTGCAGGACTGTCTCCCAGTGGTCACAGATGGAATTAAGGCTTCATAGTGACTGCTGTTCTTTGAGGCTCATAAAGCAAATGAATGACTATAACACAAGAACAAACCCTGTTTTTTTTTTCTTCTGTTCATGTGATTTAATTGTTAATCAATATTTCTATTCGGAGCTGATCACCTTTTACCTTTTTTCTTTCTAGCAAAAGTCTGTCAGTCGAAGGAAGTGTGCTGCCTGTAAGATCGTTGTTCACACCGTCTGCATAGAACAACTGGAGAAGGTATAACTCTGCCTGTGAGGATACATGAAGACTCAGAGGTGTATATTAGTCCTTATGACTACCAGTAAGGTCTCGGTGACTTTATTATCACAGAGAAGTGTGAAGCAAACTGAACGCTCTCTAGATCAGGGGTGTCCAGCTACAGTCCTGCAGCTTTTACATGCATCCCTGCTCCAACACAGCTGAATCCGATGGTTGGATTCCCTCTTCAGCAGCCATCAAGTTTGGCCTGATAACAAACCGTTCATTAGATTCAGGTGTGTCGGAACAAGGATGCATCTAAAAGCTGCAGCTCTCCAGGACTGGAGTTGGACACACCTGGAAATCTAACATGGATCCAGTGTTGTTGCAGCTGGTAATGATTCTGTATGTCAGTGCAGTCGAATTCGTCATTTGTAAGCAGAGCACAACAGGTTGTGTTTGACTGAGCGTCCTGTCTGATCTGCAGTTTCCCGGCTCTAAAGCTCTTCTTATGGATGCCACGCTGCCCGTCAGTGACCCCAGCTTTAGAGTGAGATACACAGAACTCGTCCTTGTCTTCTTTCTCTGTCCTCCTCTCTGATCCTCGGTCTGATGGGACTGCACAGGTGATCGTGGGTGCTGACCTTACATCAGTCTATTATAATGAATCACTGCACAGCAGCGTGGGATGAGGGTGGTTTGGCATATGCCACTCAAAAATAATTATTGTTGATGGAGATGTCACTTCCACTGGGAACAAGTGTATTTAGACACTGAGTGAATCAACGTGGAATCCAGGGCAGACACTCTGAAAATTCTTCCTCTGTCAGGGTCCTTTTTTCTGAAATCCTTCAAATTTGCTCCTCTCGTTTTTCTTGTGGTGTGATAATCTGATCATCTTGACGGTTTGGGTGCTTCGATCTGAAAACACGAGGAGGTCGTTGATCTGAAGCTGCTTTCTGAAGTGTTCTGGTAAGGAAACGATCAAAAAGGGCCACGATTGGTTGCAGAGACAATGGTCGTGTCCAAATTCATGGGCTGCATCCTCCTGAGGACCCGGCC